GAAGTTGTCATCCATCTCGGCACCGTGGTTGTGTGTGAGTTCCAAGGTGGAACCTCAGTTGGATGGGACGAAACGGACCAAAAACAAGGTGCAGGCGTCAACTTGAAGAGGTGCAAACCACCCGACTTTCGAGACGTCAGTCTATCAGCACCCGCATCCTGGCGTTCCAGGTCGATTCGGCTCGCCATTGGCGCTCTGAAAAGAGGTCTTAAGTGGTGATCACTTGGGTGCTGGTTGGAAGCATCTGCGAAAAGTCTGTCAAGGTCGTGTGTTTCAGACTCATCAAAAGAACATATTAATATACCTAGCGCTTCCAATGGGTCTCCAGTCTGGTGACCTATAAGCAGTGAAGGGTGGTCCATTGGTAACCCCTTGCAAGCAGCTGGTGTTATATAAGTTATATATATATATAACATATAACTGTTTTACAGGTCAAACTAGCATGTGTTCATTCAATCTGTGCTCCACGACCGCTCTGTTCGATTGAGACGGATGGAGAGTTTAGTCAGTTGCTCAGTTTTTGATGCTATGGGGGCCCAAACCTGCTCGATGGCTTCCTTACCAGTCCCCCATAAGTGTCTGGCCTGACATCGTCCACAAGTAGCGCTCGTTCTCGATGCCGGTTTTCCTGATGTCAGGGTGTTGTCGATTCACGGCGAAAGAACTGGGTCAATCTCAATCAAGTGTGATCCCATCTCAAACAATCACCGACTCCAAGCATCTCCATCGTACAGGTAGGCACCTGCTGGCCATCCCGGCACCGCTCCAGGAAGTACACGGTGAACTTCCACTGAGGAAACCTCTCCATCCGGGCGGATGGATCGCTGGATGGAACCGGTCCCAAAACGAGGACGCTCATTGTACTTTGCTAACTGCTTGGGATGCTCATGGTTCTTTGTAATTGCTGCGGTTGAAAACAAGAGAACAAAGCCGTTCATGGTCCTGGAGGGAGAGGACCTCCGTGCACTGATCCGGCTAACCGTGTTGCTGTGAGGCGCAGTGTCTTCAACGATGTTGTTTTTTGTTTGGGGCAAACGGTGGATGGCAAAACTCATCAAACCTCAGTCTCAAAAAACTTCAAACATCTTTATTGGATTTGATTCGACCATGTCTCTTGTTTTGGCTCTTTTTTGCCGCTCTGTGACCATAAGTGCCACTTGCGGCCGTGGGGCTCAATCCAATGAATCAGCTTCATGCCAAAATTCCTGAGGCCGCCAGGCTAGCTTTCACACATCACCCATCCATAACTACACAAAATGATCCAACTTGCGGCTGGAAACATGTGATGAAACCCTCCAGGGTAACAAACCCCCTGTTAACCCCAAAAGGACCAGGTGGTTGATATAATATTATCGCTGGCGACTAACTAATCCTCATGATGTTCAAAGCGCCGCTTCACCATTTCTATCTCCCAACATGTGACTTTGTGAAGCCTTCAATAAGCCATCAAAAGCAGCAACAATCCCAATATCAATATATATGCAAAAATAAACATAATGTATATATATATATACATACCCCGCATTTTACCAATAAAACCTATGGAAAACCGTGGATTTTTTCCCAGCAGCGGAGCAAGCAAGCAAGCAGGCAGGTAGGCAAGCAAACAAGCAGGCAAGCAATCGAGCAAGCAAGCAAGCGAGCGAGCGAGCGAGCAAGAAAGCAGGCTAGCAAGCAAGCGAGCAAGCAAGCAAGCAAGGAAGCCAGCAAGCAGGCAAGCGAGCAGGCAAGCAAGCAGGCAAGCAACCAGGCAAGCAAGCAAGCAAGCGAGCAGGGAAGCAAGCAGGCAAGCAAGCAGGCAAGCGAGCATGCAGGCAAGCAGGCAATCGAGCATGCAGGCAAGCAGGCAATCGAGCAAGCAAGCAGGCAAGCGAGCAAGCAAGCAAGCAAGCGGGCATAGGTTAGCCCCTGAAGCTTTCCCAATCTTTTCACTCTAATTTAACTCTAATTACTAAGATTATTGTTTCTACTAGCTTCTTGTTTCTAGTAGTAAGGCCCTTGTTCCTAGTAGCGATGCCCTTTGCTCCGTTCGTAGCGTTCAGTTGACTCATGTTCCAGTTGACTCCTTCGCCCAAAATGGTTTCGACCCCCCAACCTGTGACCAGCCCATGGATCCAGCGCACGTCGCTTCGCGACGACGTGGTGTGTCGACTTCCCAGCTTTGACTCCGTTTCGGGGCCCACAAGCGGGTTGAGAGTAGGCACTGGCACCCCAGTCGAGGTCTTTTAGATGGGAGGGTCCATATCAAACACCGAGCTTGGGGATTGCGCCATTGGTCCTCTCAACCCACTTTTTCTAGGGGACCACACTCAAAAGGCACTCGAAATATGTGGTTCTACGAGGATGCCATCTGAGTGTGATCCCCAAACACAAACCATCCCAAACCCCATTGGTTGGGACCCCCCCAATTCCAATACCTCCAAGGGGGGCCTGGGATCGTCCGGCTGCCACACCCCCAATGGCCGCGGCCGGAGAATGTGTCCAAGTGTCTCCACATAAAAGGGAATGGAGACCTTTGGGTCCTGTCCAGTGGGCGGAGGGCGGGCGGGGCACCCAGGAAACATCTGGTTGAAGCGTCTTCTTCCCAGTTGAATCATGCAAAGCGGATGAAGAATGCAACTCAATATGTCTTTGTGACCCCATTGCGGAGGGCGACCCAGGTCCCTCAATGCTACAAACTACCACCAATTCGTTGGGATCCCACTCTTGTTGACAACGGTCAAATGCGGAGTCAATGCTCATTAAACTGGATAATGGCATGATAACGGCAACTGTAACGGCATGAAAGCGGCAACTGCTTAGTCCTCCAACGAAAACGATCTGCTAAAGTCGGAGACCAAAAACCTGGGTCTTATCTTGTAGCCCAACCTCCTCCAAGCAAGAAACAAAGGGACCTGGCCTTGATGCGGAGCATCGTCTGCTGGAAGCGCGCATGATAAGGGCCGCTGCCCATGGTGGGCAGCGCTTCCACCTCCTCGGAATGCAGCCATCTTCCATCTACCTGAAGTGGGTGGAAGCTGGAGTCAGCCTCGGCAACGGTTTCCTTCTGAGTGGATTTTCCTAGATTTCCAGCTGCTTCAGCCGGTGCGTCGTCATGCGTCGTCATGATGGCTCTTGTCGTACAAACAGAAAAGGACTGAAACCTGGGTCATAAAGGCTCCAACTTCCGCGTGTTTCTGGATGCGAGTATTTCTGAAGAGCACATTATGATACATTATATGCTGCTCCAAGCAGGAAAAATCCAACATCTTCCACCCGATCTTGAAGCACAGGATGACCGTCTGCATGTTTCTGATGACGTTTATCCTAGAAAGATGCTAGCTACATGTTTAGAAATACATGCTGATCGGGGAAAAGACACATGTTTCAGAAACATCGGGAACATGACCCATGCCAAAAAAAAGGAAAGCATGCATGAAACATGCTTATGCTTATACGATGCTATGGATGCATCGTATGAACCCCATGCTCATCCATGTTGTTTACGGTACGTATATCGTTGGAGACTCCAGATTCATCCTCCCCAGTTGCGACATGTTGCGACCCGCTGGTCCTCCCCGCGACCCTGCCCTCCTCGCTCGCACCAGCCGCCTTCACCGCATGGCCGTTGCTCTCCTGTACCGTGACCGTGCGGTCGCCCACACGGACGTTGTCGCCCGCCACGAAGCCCATGGCGGAGCGGAGAGCGGAGATGCCGCGGTGTTCGACCGGCCGGCCGCTGAGGCCAAGAAGCTGGGGACGGTTGGTGCGAAGGATCTGTAGTTGGTTTTGCATGTGAGAAGCAATGAAGACCCACAAAGTAAGATTGTGTGTGATGTCACACACCTAGGCAAATGTCCAACACGGTATGCAGCATACGGGAGACAATGAGGCAATGAACTCTGAATTCTTAGACATTGGGAAAGAGTACAAACCCAAACTCACAAAACGTCGCAAAGCAATTCAGAAAAGGCCAAAGCATGTTTGGGAAACCGCTAAGGGCTTGCAGGACACATCGTTTACCCTTTCACATCCAAATGAATGCAGCATGCAAATGCATGCAAAGTCAAGCACCAAGTCCTCAGCTGGATTGCGAGTTTCGGGTGCCCGCCGGATTCACACCCGGACAGCAGACCCTTTTTGGGGCGGAGAAAGGTCTGAAGATTTGCCATCAAACGCCCGCTTGCGACTCAAATAACAATAAATAAAGACCGTGAATATCAAATATGAATATCAAATGAATCCAGTTGCATGGAAAGCCCCACTCGAGTCATTCCAAGATATTCCAAGTCTGGTCAGGGCCCCAGTGCATCCTCCAAAGGTCCCGAGCTCCGGGTCCCGAGCTCGGAAGACCGGCTTTCGCCCCCGAGAAACGCGCGGAGAAGGTGGAAGAGAAGGCGGCTTGAGCGGCAGAGCTGCGAAGGATCGAAGGATCGATTGACAGGTGTCTTCTTGTCCACACGTCACGTGGGTTGTAATTCGCCATGAGAAAAACACACTCTTTCGACGTAAGCACTTCAAGTCAGCGATCCCGGACCCGCTCCAAAAACAAGAGATCTCACTTGCTGTTCCAAAATGGTCTGCACGTGGGACGGGCGGTCCGCAAATAGATGATGCCAAAAAGCACGAATCCGAACGTGTCCCGTGTCCCACTTATACTGCAACTCACTTCCTAGGATTTTTCGAATTTGTTCTATTATTGCTATTAGGAAAACACTGTCTGGGAGGCTATCATGAATCAGGGTCTGACCCAAATCATCGCACATCCAAAAGGGAGATCCATAAGATTCAGGACCCTGCAAAATGGGGTGTTTGAATTTGGGGATCCCAACCTATCCCAATCACCTTCCTGGTTTTCTCAACTCAAGTCAAGATCACTAGTTTTAAATGTTTAGGACCACGAAATCATGACTCAAATCTATATGTGGTGTCCTGATATAGCCTATGACGCCCTCACTTCGGGACTGGGTCACTTCTCCGCGCATCAGCTGGGTCACAGCCCCATCGCTCCACCGCCCGACCTTCCGAGGAGAGGTCTCCACACCACCTGAGGTGACGCGAACCCGCTCGACCGGTGAAGTCACGGGTCGACTCCAGGGCCAACCGCCAGCTGTGGCCAGCTGTGGCCAGCTGTGGCCAGCTGGAAAAGGGGTCGGTCTGTTTTCCCAAGTGTGCAAGCCAGGCTACATGCCACCAAGAACTGCTTTCGTCCGCCATCTGGGAGCTTCAACTGCGCTGACTGGGCTTCCCACTGTCGAGTTCCAGAACCCGTGTCTCCAGATTCTTCAGCTTCTCCTTGAGATCTGCCTGGCGTCAGGGCTTGGCAAAGCAAACCGTTGGCCTTCGCTCCGATGTCGGATGTCGGTGCCGCCTCGGTGCGGGCGGAGGTGCTTTGGAGGCGAGTCTCCAAGCTTTGGCTTTCTGCGATGGCTTGCTGCTTCGCATAGCTCCTTGGATCCCACGTGGCTGGGAATAGGAATTCAAGGAAAGGATGGGGAGGTCGTGAAGTCGGCATAAGCTGGAACTGCAGGACCAAGCAAACCTCGTGGTGTAAATGCTCTCGAGAGGGAGGGCGAGAAAATTGGATTCAAATTCAATCCTTCGATATTAACGGGCCCAAGAACTGTCTATATATTATATAAAGGATCGTGCATCTTGGCGCCCCACTTCATCTCTGCCAGGACCTGTCTTTCTTCCACAAAACAAGCGGCGCAGGAGATCGCAACATGGAGGGAACGCAGGGTCTAGACACTCACAGCTACATTACATGCCTGAACATATGTTGAAGATTGTTGAAGCATCTCTTAATGACTTGAAGGTGGCTTACTGCCTTATATGTTATACGTCTAGAGTGGGGCGTTCTGGATACTTGAAGCCTCCATGTGCACTGAAGCTACGCACTACGCGACGCATTCTACTCTGAATGGAGGAGCCTGCAGCCAATCCCAATTCGAGAACTACTACTGGGGCGACTGAAGCATTGTCCTGAGACAGCATTCCAGGCACCAAAAGCGTGGGTTTGGAGGCGAAACATGCTCCAACCCTGTTGCCTTCTGAGAATGTATTTATAGTTTGGATCCAATGTACCTTATCCCTGTTCCCTAATTAGCCTTCCAAGACCGTTAAACCGTTAAACGAAAGGTTGACCTGGCTCTGTAGTCTAGAGGCCTCAGTGAAATTTGCTCATTCGAATCTTATGCCCACCGCAACCAACCCCACCACGCCTGGTCCGGTGCAGAGCTCTTGGCCGCATCGCGAAGGGTTTGGAAGAGTTTCTTGGTGTCCTTCCAGGGCGCCCACGGGTGAAACCCGAAAGCCCTCTCTCATCTTCTCTCATCTTCTCTCCACCATCACCTCTGTGAGGAGGTCCCGTTCTCGTTCAGGATTCGGCCCAAAAAGGGTGATTGGAAAAACATGTGAAGTGCTGGCCCAGTGGCAACACTGGAACTGGAGCCAAATCCGAAGGCATGATGATGACTAACCAAGAAACAGTGCCTAATTGTTCTATCAAATCCAATTCCAAACAAGCAACATATCTACATAGCGTGCTGACCAACTTTAGTGTGTTCTGCTCTGGCGCCAGGAGTAAAATTGCGAAAACCTTTGCATGTCACCTCTGAAAGTCGTATGGAGGTCGCATGGCCGGGGGTTCCAACAGCCGTTGTTTTCAATGGTCTTTACCAACCATTGTGTTACCAAGGATTTTAGACCTGAATATGCAGGACACCAGTCTCCTTGATGCACAGTTTTGGTTTATCATAGTTTATCGGCCGTAGGGATCGTCTCTTCGTCCATGGTGCAGCGGTTCTCTCCCCCAAATGGAACCAGGCGAAATCACAGCGAACGAACCCACACGACGCTCTCCATTTGATGTTTGCGGGTCTTCCTGGGCCCATCTACCCAGCGAGCAACGCGAAAACAGGAAAGAACAGAACACATGCAAGCACAGTAAACCAATGGGGTACTTGGCACTGATTTTCATGGAAGGACAGCTACGTATACAGCCACACATTCTGAATATCTTCAAGAAATCATGGAAATATATGGAAATCCAAGAGTGTCTGGGCCCTGGGAATTGCATGAATCAATCTGGCAGCATCCACGTGTTCTTCCTCCCTGGATCCTCTGGCTTCCCCTGGCCGTGCGCCGGGCACCCCATCCGGTCCTTGAGAGCGGCACCTGTTGGTCGGTCCCGAAACGGAAACGAAAACGAAGGCCATGCCGCGTGTCCGGAAGAAGCTGTGGTCACAAAGAACGTACACTTTCTCAGGAAGAAGTGGCAAGTGGTGTCTTTCGCGAAAAGAGGCACCTGCAAAAAAGAACCTGGGTTTGATCCGCTGGAATGGTGCTAGCTCATGCAGCAAAACCAGGTGATTGGGTGGTGAACATCGAATTATGGATCCTAATCTTGATTTTCTACCGATGGACATGAAGGACATCTCACATCAGGTTTTGCATGGTTTTGCAGCTGGTGCTGTTAGTGCTGCAGCTATCTAAAACCCCTTGCTGAGGTAGGCAGTTTGCATTGACATTGTCACGTAACTTGATGAATCTCTGTCCTACACACCATGCTTGCCTGGCACCAAAAAGGTCCCTTCCACCCAAAACACACCCCTTCGATCACAAAAGCCAAAGTTCTGGATCACAAGTACAGCCGAAACACCACGTTCTCGACGGTTTGTCTCCTCCGGGGCCGAACGAATCGCACATGACGCGGCGACGCCGCGACGCCGTCCCGAAGCGCTTTGGTGGACGCACTCGGTGGAGAGCTCCGAGAGGCCTTGGAGCGTCGTGCCGCCCGGAACCGCTCCGGGTCCAGGCCGTTCGTGGCGAGAGAGAACTCGGGCGCCGAACTCGGGACCCAGAGTCGGGTTGTATGCTCCCTAGGGATCCGAGTCTACAACCTTCTCAGGTTCGGTACGACTGGACCCGACAACGGCACCGTCTCATAACAGTGCCGAACACATCACCGTACCTGAGAAGGTACGACTGGATCATCTTGGATCCCTATAGGGGCTTGTTGTTTTGTTTCAATCATGTCCAAACACAGTCCATATGGGACTGACTTTTGCAGGAGGTCTGTTAAATCGAGAAGTGCATGGGGCATGGTCAATCAACAGCAAAAACCCTCTCGCAGTCGCCCCTGACCTGCTGGAAAGAGAGCCCATCTGTCCATGGCCTGGAATACTAATGGAATATTACCCTGATCAACCCTGACATGTTTGGATCAACCCCAGGGCCCAAAGATGCTCAAAAAGTGAACGACGCTTTCCCATCCGGCAAGGAGACCCACGGCTTGACCTGAAACCGGTTGTTCAAACCGCCCAAATCCAGCTCAGGCTGAACCCCTGAAAGGTCTTGATGGGTCGTGTTGGTTTCTTCCTTCCTGCTCTATCCTGCTCTTGGATGCTCTTGGGATTACACCGCCAGGCCAAGTCCATTTTTCTCAGTAAATGCGCCCTCTGCACTTCTCGCTGCCGCACAGGCAAGGCTGGTGGCGCACACTGCCGTCCGCCGCGAGCACGGCCTCAGGTGGCATGCCATAGTCGTAACGCAGCTCCTGCAGGGAGGATGGTGAGATGGTCGTGAGATACTTAGGTCTCACAACAAACACGACTCTCAAATAGCTCAAGTTGATGGCAATGGGCCGAACACAACTCAGGTGGGATTTGAGACAGGTCTCCTCTGGCTGGATGGGCGCTAATTATTGGTGACGTGTTGGAGGCTGCTGGTATGTGAATCATGTGAATCCGTCCATGTGACCCAGCTTGACTGCCAATTCCTCCGCCGAAACGCCCCCGTCCTCGCCCGGCGCAATGGTACGGTTGGCCACGAAGCACACGCGCGGCAGCCTGGCATCCACCAGAGCCTGGCACATGGCGGGTGGTGGGCAGCACTGCGGATATCCTTTAGGCCGACCACCGAAACAGAACCTGTAGAAACCCAGGAAGAACCCGAGTCATTCGCCTTTTCGAGGAGTCATCGAAGCACTCATCATTGCGGCCGATTCTCATTCAAGATTCACTTTATAGGGATCCAACTCCAAGGTCGTTGACCCAGTTTTTGCTCAACAAGTAGAAGGACAGTTCCCTCCAATCCGGTTTGGTGTTTGCATGGGTTTGGGGTGTTGGCTCGGTCCCTACCTTCGGTAACGGAGCGGAACGGAGGTGGGCATGGCCAGGGGGACCATCCTCTACAATCCTCAACAAGCAGCCCTAGGGCTCCAGTCGTACCTCCTCAGAAGGTATTTGGACCCTCTAAACCCACTCCAAACACCTTCTTAGAAGGTACTTGGAGCCCTAGGGCAGGTGGTGCCATCCATTTCCATGTGAGTGACTCAAACGGAGTGCAGTTCTTTGGGACTCACTGGCCAGTGCCCTTCTTTTTGCCAACCACCCATGCCCCGGTTCCGCACGTTCTTTTTTTTAACCGTGCCTCGGCCGGGTAGACGTAGACGGGACACACGTTGGCCTTGGCCGATGGGTGGACAAATACTCCCAGGTGCCCAACGTGTTTTGTGCGGTGGACTGAAGGGATCCTGGTACTCTCCCTGGAACTAACATGAACTAACATGCAAGTGGAAAACCCCCACTAAAGTAAGTAGAGACAATGGGACCGTTTTCCACTTCCATGCTAGGACCAGGGAGTGTAATCCTTGTAGATCCAGCTACAGTACTTTTGATGTGGGAAAGTCCTGAACCTGCCAAAAGCGGCGCTTTTGGTTAAACCTGGCAAGCATATCGTATACGTGTCTTGGCTGACCAACCAAGACACAATGATATTCAAGAGGTTCTTCGAGATAGTTCCGAGTTCCTCCATGAGTTGCTCATTTCATCTCATTTCTATGGACTCTTGATTTTTCAATCCCATTAGAATTTGAAGAGGTGTCTCAATCCCAATAAAACTGCTTATCTACATGGGTTGCTCCATCACTTGCTCCATGTTCCCATCACCGGCAGCGCCTCACGGGAGGGCCCACAAGCATGGTTCAGGAAGCGGCCCACGTTGCCTCTGAGGTAGGCATCCAACACGAAGACCTCAACGACAAGTCGCGACAGGACTCCACACCAATCTTTTTCCCGTGGAGGCTTGGACAGAACGAAAAGCGAGCAGGACAGCAGGACCTGGGAGTGGTGAGATCCACGAACATGAAAAACCATCGAGTAGAACGTGACACCGAGACTGGTGCGGAGATGAACCTGAGACCTGATTGATCTTGGTGTCTTATGTGCCTTTTGGAATTGATATGTGTTGGAGATGTGCTTTCAGTATCTTTCAGTGATTCCAACCACATGATGGGCTCCAGTTAGCCATTAGCCTGCGAAGGAGGACACAAATGAACACGAGCTCATCCGGTTTCAGCCGAGGGGCAGGATGATCTTCATCCCCTGAGCTTTCCACCTGCGCGAAAGCTCCAGGCTGATTGGAGCATGGCCACAGTGAAGTGATTTCGAGGACATTCATTGGTTGTGCCTAGCTACGATCAAGCTAGATATGAGCTGCTGTATATACATGGCTTAAATATCTATTCAATTGTTCCTTTCCACATCATTTGATCTGCGCACCCGGGGGTCGACTGGATCGACTGGATCGACTGGCGACTGGATATGACACACCCATCACACCTGAAGAGCCCAAAGTGACAGAGCTTGACCCCCTGGTTGGTTCAGTCACCGCCGAAGTTTGGTCACGGTATGAAACCGGTCATGAAACGGGTGATCCAGCTGCGGTATCTATATAACCGGACCGGCAATGGCAATGGTCAATGTCACCAAAGTCTCATGGTTTTGCTGTGCTTTTGTCTTTGACCAACATCAGTTGTTGGACCTTGTCAAACTTGCTAAGTTGGAAGGGAAGAGTTGACATCAGATGACTTATTCACCATCAACATCTGTGGTTGGCAAGGGTTGGCCTTCCTGCGTGTGAGATCACGCTGCATGGCCTCATTTTTTCATGGCTTTTGTGGGGTCGTGGCCCCTTCCCCTTTGCAAATGGGATTTGGATGGCACCCTGATTCATACCCACATCACTATCCTGGCGCTTCTCGATCCTCTTCCACGATGCACGATCCTCTTCGAACGGATCCCATGTTCTCGGTTGAAGAGAACATCAATACAGCAAACCCCCAGTTTAAAGGGTTGAACACCATCAGTTTTGTCTTTACAGTATAGATGGGCGTAACGCAATAAACAAAAACATCACAACCTTCATTGGATTCGCCGGCGGCGCCTGTGCTCCTAGGGATCGGCACTGCTTTGGCGTCGTCAGGTTGAAGAGATACCTGGGCGCCACGCGCAGGCACGACCGGCCGTCCCAGGCCGGACGGGTCGCGCTTGCTTCAGAAGCAGCGGGTATACGCGATAAAGCAAGTTTAAGAACAGGGGTGCCCATTCTGACATCAATAACCTCCCCGATTCCTGAATACAATTGACCGATGGGGTCAGGGCAACCAATTTGTAGTTTGTTTGTGCCTTTTTCTCAAAGTAACACAGAGGGCAGGATCTGCGGATCTGCGCATACTAGATCCAAGTGCAACACCGAGACGGAGAAGAACACATACTACATACTTATGGCGGTCCATGGCCATCTTGGGAAAGTCAGTGATTGTATATACAGTAATATATATATATACACCCTAGGGCTCCAACCACCTTCTGAGAAGATGGTTGGGGTGGGATTGGGGAGTCTAACCATCTTCTGAGGAGATGGGCCAGGAGCCCTAGGGATATAACATGCTGATTCACATCAACATCGTTCACGTTTTTACTCCTAAGACTCTTGCAGTTTGGTTTGGGAGTGTACTCAACTCGCTGGAGACTGGTTCCACTCCACGCCCTTCATACGTATGTCATACGGCAACACTGACCAGTAAAAAATAGACTTTAGAATGATCTTCCTCAACTTTCATGTTGAATCTTGGCCTCTACAAATTTAAAAATGCAAGTGATTGAGGTCGCAAACCATGCAAGTACTTTAAACATTAACATTCTATAAATGCCTTGAGGTACCCCATTTTACAACGGGGATTCAATAACGTACCGAACATACTATATTCAAATAGAACTCATACTATAATGCAATATCCATTATTGTTGTTGCACTCACTCGTCTCTTGGGTGGTGGGACAATGAAACCCTGGTGAACCATGCTGACCCCTTAGCCGTTGGAAAATGAAGGTCAGCCGAACTTTAAACCTAGTTTGATTTGAGTGGGGTGCCCCAAAAAACATCGGTGATTGAAGCTTGGTCAGATGAAGGAGCGTTCCCAGCACGCGAGGCTGGACTCCAGGCTCATGTGACACCCAGTTCCAAAGGCGCAAAGGGTCCACTCACCTTGTCTCTGAAGACCATCCCGTTGGAACTCCTGGATCTTCCGAAAAAGAACAAATACATCTCGTATACATCTCGTATACACCCTTTTTGCGTGTGAACTAAGAGTCCGGGGTTTTTTTGGAAGAAGAAACTCCGGAGGTCCAAGTTCGGGCGAGTTTTTCCGTTGCCAAGTGAGTGGATCATGGGGGTGCCCATCCAATCACTGAGCACCCTTTTGGAACTGCCCAGCAAAGGCTGAGGAACCCTAGTTCGACTATCCGATAGGTACCCCTGTAGGGTCCTATTTACGGTCACTTAACCTCTGTAGGTGAAGCATTCTACATACTAATACGAGTCAACAGATTCCGTTTTGTCACATCCTAACCCATCGATGGCGTATCTCGCCCAGTGGCGCATCTCGTCCTGGGCCCAGTTCTTCGGCTTCTGCATCGAGTAAAATCTCACCTGC